TTTTATTTAAAACTTTTTAAAGAATGGTAAGCAGTTTTTTAATAGGCCAAATAACGTGCTTTTTGATTGACAAGGAAGTGATTTTGAAGATTTTTATACCAGTGATTGAAAATCAGTAATTAAAAGTTTAAAGATATTTCATTCAGAAGACTTAATTTTAGAAAGAGATTTTTCAGGTGAAAGTTTAGTGATAAAATACATACTTCCATAGTTGTAGGTCAAATGAAATATGTGTGGACTTAGGGCTTCGTCCCATGGTTACACAGACCACTGGACAAGTGCTTTCATTTTTGTCATTTCAAAGTTTTTTATGTGCATAATTTTTTATTTATGTCCATAAAAAATGTTGAGCTTGTTTTATAAATGAACCGAAGGATAATTCACATACAGACACAAATGGGCAATTACTCATCGGATATGTGTAGCCATAGCCTGTCATTTATATTCTAGTTAAGATGCATTGATACTAGAGTTTTTCCTTAAACTCAAAAGTTCTAATGATATAACTTTAAAGTTAGTTTTGTATAGTGACACTCTTGTACTTTGTATAGAACATGCTATACCAGATTAAATAACCATAACCTCATTTAGAAAACAAGTTAAATAATTGGCTTTTTAATTACTTGGCTTTGTGTTGCTTATTCTCTACAGACAAAAGATCCCAGCAGAGAAGGAGGGTGTCCCCGTTAGGAGTCAGGTCAGAGGGTGAAGACGTGAACCTGAGATCTGCCGTGGTATGAAACAGGAAAAGTGGTCCTGCGGTTTGTCTCTCAGCAAAGCATTCACATGGCATCTTCCTCAGGCGTCACCTTCTAGGCCAGCTCCTCCTCAGGTGGAAACACTGGGTACTGCCATGTTTCTGTACTCAAGAGGCTGCGGCCACCTCTGGTTTCTCATCCACTTTACTTGTTCAGATGAGAAAATGGAATCTTAAGATCTTACTTAGTTACATGCAATTCCAAACTAGACTCGCTCCTCTGAGTCCAGTGTCTGGGAGCTTCTAACCACCCCCCCCCCAGACTCTGAGGGCTGGGGTGACGGCCCCTTCTGGGTTAACATATAGCTTTTGCTCATCCTTCCTCTTTCTCTCATCCTTCCTCCTTCCCTGTTCGAAAGCAATGTGACCTGAAACAGTGAGGGGAGCTGGCCCTCCTTGTTTGGTTGAAGGCCTGGCCTGAAGACACTGGAGTAGGAATTGTAAGTGGCTTTGGCCGAGAGTTTGACTCAGCAGAGATCACCCACCCATCTTGGAAGTCTTGGAGGCCCACAGGGGTGGGCACACAGACCACGTAGAGCACTCCTCATGTGTGAATACACCATTAAGACCAGGGGAAACTTGGTCCGCTGAAAGGTGCCCGTCACCAAGGTTTCTGTGGTTGCTTCTTGAGACAGGACCTCACTTAGTGGCCCAGGCACGCCTGCAGCCAACTATGTAGTCCAGGGTGGCCGAGAGCTTGCAGCAATCTTCCCACCTCAGCTCCCAAGTGCCAGGATTACAGGTGTCAGCCATCATGCCCAACTTTTCTGTAATTTTGATCACTCCATCCAAAGTCTCTCCAGGTCTCTGTGGAGACCGGGAGTGCTTTAAGTTCACAGTGACGTTTTCTGTATCTGTTCACTGCTTGCATCTGCTCCCAGCAGAAACCCAGCTATGCTTCTGCTTCCTGTGGGCAGCTGCTTCCTTACTTAAAGATTGTCTTCTGTTCCTGGAGTGGCCTGGGCAGAGCAGGTTTCTTGTGTGCTTACAGAGCGGAGGGTTTGGCAGGTGGCACTCTTGAGCTCCTGGGATGGCAAGTACATTGTGCCATACAATGGCAACTAGCAGGTGATCCCCCAACACACTGCTCTCCTGGTTTTCACTTCAAGGGAGTATGGCTTTGTTCTGGTTAGGACTAGTGGTAAATCACATGTCCAGGGACAGCAGCCAATTGTGTGGGGGGGGGGGGCGGGATACATGCCACTCAGGCCCATGTACCAAGGGCTCTACCTGCTGACCCACTCCCCTGCCACTGAAGCTACTTCTTCAAACCTGTTGGGGCTGGAGAGATGGCTTAGTGGTTAAGAGCACTGGCTGCTCTTCCAGAGGACCTGAGTTCAATTCCCTCCACTCACGTGGCCACTCACAACTGTCTATAACTGTAGTTCCACTGAATCTAGTGCCATTTTCTGGTGTGTAAATGTGCATGCAGGTAAAACATCCATAAACACAAAATACACAACAGACACAAACAGGTAAGTCTTTTCCAGGTGCGGTGGCACAGGCCTTTATTCCCAGCCCTTGGGAGGCAGAGACAGGTGGATCTCTGTGAGTTCAAGGCCAGTCTGGTCTACAGAGTGAGTTCCAGGACAGACAGGGCTGCACAGACAGAATTTGTTTCAAAAAAACAATACCAAGCAGCTAAACAAACAAATAAGCGGCCAACCAAAAACCCGAAAGTTACAGGAGTGACATTTGTTGTTGTACAAGTCCATGCGCTGTTGTGAGAGGCTTCTGCTGTGGGTGACGGGGAAGCACAGCCATAGGCTGGACACATGAGGACGAGCCCAGCCCCAGGCAAACAGGACTAGCACAGGAGAGTGGCATATATGTGTGCATTAAATAAGCAGGGACCGTGCCAGGTCAGAGGGCAGGGCTGCTTTCCAGGCAGGCCCTGTGCCTTCTCTCTAGCTTCCCAGTCACTGGCACTGTTTGGTTATTTCCCCATTTTCTTTTTTTTCTTTTTTCTGGAGCTGGAACCCTGAGCTTTATCCATCAGTCAAGGGCACGTCAGCCAAGCGATGCTGCCCATCCTCTTCCCCACTCGACAGCTCTGGTGAGCCGTTGCCAGCTTCCCCAGGGCTGCTCTGCAGACACCAGCTCTCCCTGTGGATGCCAGAGTGCCTGTCTGCTCTCACACTGCTCCTTGTCCTGAAGCCTCATACAGCGGCCAACGGTGCTCTGGCTCTAACATCAGGCCCTGAGCTATGTATAGAATCAATACCTATTTGTTGCAGATTATGCCTATTCACTTGGCATAAAAAGAAAAGCTGTAACGTGAAGGCTGGAGCCGAAAGGGAAGGAGGAAATAAGGGCGGCTCTGCATCTTGACCAAGCTGGCTGTTGAACTTTACCGGCCTGCAAAGCATCCTTGTAGGTTCAATCTTGTGGCTTGTTAAGGAAATTAAACTGGCAAACATATACAAGCAGCAGAAAGGTTGGCTGACCATCTCAGCTCCGTGGACTGTCTGTCCCTTTCATTTTTATCAAGACGGATATAAGAATTACATCAGCAGCCGTCAAAAAGTGTGGGAACTGGAGAGCAAGGATTCCTCGAGTCTGTTTCCTTAGAAACAGAATCCGCGAACCCAGAAGAAGTCCCAGCGAAATGAGGCCTGTGAAGGGAAAGGAAAGGTGGCTTGGGGAAAGTGAACAAGAGATGATGAGCTTGCTTGCCATAGCTCACACTCGCTGGAGCAATTGTTTGCACTCACGCGTGGTCCCTGCATGAGTGCGATGCCCAGAGAGGCCAGAAGAGGGCTCTGATCCTCGGGGACCGCAACGCGAGGGCAGAGAGCGCTCCTGCCTTCGGAGGGATCCGGCTCACACTGGCTTTTAGACAAGCTCAGCTGGATACTTTGTGGCTGGTCTTTTTCTTCGAAACTTCACCCCGAGCCATACCCTGCCCTCCTCAGCGGCGCTGTTGGCCGCCGTCTCCACCCTGCGGCGGCCTGCGCGCTCCCGCCAAGCAGGGGCTGGCAAAAAGGCTGGCTCCCCAGGAAGCTCAGCACCACAGGTCTTTCACCAGGCTTCAGGTCTGCTGCATGCATAGACAACCTTGCCAAGACCTCAAAACCTGGGAGTCTCACGACGCACCATCTCCCACAGGGCCGACAGGTTTCACGGGGCCGCTCCCGCGCGTCACACCCGTGTTATACAGCGGCTCGTGGAGGACTGGCCTACGTGCGCGCAACCGTTTAAACTTTACCAGGGTGTGTGCGTGGTCGGAAGCACTGCCCGGGGAAGGGGCGATAACGTTAGGACCTTATCTCTTCCAGGGAGTTCAAAGTCCCAAACAGACCGACGCAGATTCCGGGGCCGCACGGGGAAGCGCTGGGGAACGCAGCCACCTGCTCGCGCGGGCCGGCGGGGGAGGCTCCCGGGGGAGGCCGAGGCGGGAGCACGAGGCGCGGGCGCTTCCGGCAGGCGAGGGCCCGCTCGAGCGTCGCAGCCGGTCGCCGGCCCTCGCGCGGACTGCGGCTCGGACGTCTCGCGGGCTTCGACTGTCGGGGGCCGGGCAGCGTGCGAGCCCGCGGGGCTGAAGTCCACACCGGAGAGCTGGGGTCCCTCCGAGGGCGCCCCAGGTCGCGAGCGCGCCGCAGCCGGCGGCCGGTCCCCGCTGGCCGGGGCCTCGCGCTCGCCGCGACCGGAGAACCGCTCTCCGCGGACGCTCGCGCGCGCCCGACGGCGACGGGCGAGTGTGGCCGGGAGGCGCGCCGGTGGCCGTGGGCGGAGCGCTCGGGGCGGGGCCTGTTCGGCTGGCCAATGGGCGTGGGCGGAGCTCTGCGGGCGGGGACCGTCCGGGCGCCGGCCAATGGGAGGGGTCGGAGCGCTCGGGGCGGG